AATGTCAATATCATCCTATCACAATGTTTTTTAAAGTTGTTATAATCTTTTAAATCCACGAGGCTAATTTAAAAGACAGGAATTGTCCAACAGAAAACTTTCATAGAGGGAGTTCTGCTCAAAATTGCTAAACGGTTTTGTTTTTGATAAACATTTTTTTAAAAATTAGTATTTTAACATGGAAACCAGTGTAAATATTTGCCTTTTAGTGTGGCATATTTTATATGGCAAAAATTTAACAGACTACTTGTTTATGATTAACAATGACATTTTGAATACAATTAAAGCAGAAAGTATTCACCTAGGAGAACTGACTTCTCAATGATTGAAAAATGCACAGCAACACTATGAATAATAATAAGTTTAGCTTGAAGCGAGTTTAGCTGGAAGCCCCATCTTGCAATCGTTGACTGCACTTGTCATAAACATGTTTTCTTCTAGTAGTCATCAAGCATTTCCCACTACCTCTTTCTTTTTGAGTTCAGACACTGAATTAATTTCCCAGAAACCCCTCCCCCCACTGTCTTACTTCTGATACTTCTTTATCACCCCAGAAAAAGATGGAGTGGCTAAATAGCCCAGAATGTCTTTTCCAACTCTGGGTTTTATCATAAGCTAAGACAGAATTTCTAGCAGATTTAATGCAGAAACTTCTGGAATTCCTCACTTGGGGAGTCTATGTGAGAGCTAGTTGTGTGTCTGGTTGTGACCAAGTACCTGTGACCCCGTCGGGGCTGAGTGACAGGAGGATGGCCTTGCTGGGCTTGGCTGTGGTCCATGGACTCTTGTGTGAATAGCTTTGTGAATAGTTGTGTGAATAGCTGCTGTAAAATCAATGAGTATTATGCGAAAACATGTTGCCTGTCAAGAAATGACAAGAATTTTTAGAGAAAACTTAGGTAGGTGTGTTCAATGAACTAACAAACAACAACAACAATTTCTCCATCTGCTTTAGAAAAATCATATAGAAAAGCAGAAAGGAAACCATGAAAATCAATTATGGCCTGACTTACAAGGTTAGCCCATATGTATTTGTATATATGTATATGGATGTGATCACAAGTTGGAGTCAAGTTGTATAACTGGTTCCCTATCCCCCAACTGATAGAGCAGATCCCTGTATCACAATTTATAGTGAGCTGGTACTGCAACTTCCTGAAACGGAGCCACCAGTGACCAATAGAAGACAGCTGTGCTAGGCACCTGTCTCCTTTTGAGCCCCTGACTATTTTTCCTACTAAGCAATGTGTGTGGTGCTGTCTCAACTAGACTACATAGCATTTTGATTTATCCATGTACTTACTTCATCTAGAGACTGAATTGCAATTTCCAAGTAAGTACAAACTTCCGCACAGATATCTCTCTATGAAAGTTTCATCAATACTAAAGAGAACAGAAATAATGTTTTTTTTATTTTTTAGAAATAATGTTTTTACTCAAGTGATGATCATAGATATTTCTATGAAAATAAGTTAATTGAGGGCTGAGTTGAACCTTAATGGTAGAGAGCTTACTCATCATATAAAGCCCTGGGTTTGATTCCTAGCACTGCGGGGGGGGGGGGGGGGAAGCTATTGGGTATGATAGATAATCTGCCTAACGCTCTAGTCAAATTGTTCTAGATTTACCAACAAGGTCATATATAAACCTCACATTAAAATTAAGAAAATCCAAGGAGTAACTTTCTCCTGTTGAGCTGAGTCACAACCATTTAAATTATTTTATTATCTTTAAGTAGTTGTACAGAGAGTCACCATTCAACAGATCAGTTTATAAGTATAATGCATCTTGATCCATATCACCCCTTTCATCATTTCCCCCATCTACCAGCCCCTCACTTCTCCTCATTTAACAGAATATGCATTGAAAATATTATTCTCAACCATTTAAAAAGCAACTGTAATTGGAATCTTTGAACACAAAAAAGCCTATATCCATTCAAAACCAAACGTCTACACATATTCCAGATATTTGTGTTTAACAGTTTTTTTTTTTTTCCCCTCCAGGCTAGTGCTCAACAACTTGAGCCTCAGCTTCATTTCCAGCTTTAGGGATGGATAACTGGAGATAAGAGTCTCACAGACTTTGCTGCCCACGCTGGCTTCAAACTGCAATCCTCAGTTCTTAGCCTCCTGGGTAGCTAGGATTATAAGTATAAACCACTGGTGCCTGGATCTTAAAACATTTTTTTTTTTGGGTCCGGTCATGGGGCCTGAACTCTGGGCCTGGGCGCTGTCCCTCAGCTCTTCAGCTCAAGGCTAGCGCTCTACCACTTGAGCCACAGCGCCACTTCCGGCTTTTTTCTTATGTGGTGCTGAGGAATCGAACCCAGGGCCTTGAGCATGCAAGGCAAGTGGCTACCACTGAGCCACCTTCCCAGCCCTCTTTAAACATTTTTAAAGCTGCACCACTTGCCACTATTTTCAACTCAGAACCCAGCTAATGGGTGAGAAAGGGGTTGGTCAGAAGTAGCTAAGATTATAGATTTGAGTCACAAATGCCTGACTCCAGAGTGACTACTGACAAATTATTCTTAGGATGTGGCTAAAAAGATTAAGAGAGCAGAGATTAACCAAGTGAAGGAGAAGAAAACAGCAATACAGTACTAACCTGGCATTTTCTTCTTTGTTTTTTTTTGTCAGTTTATATAATTTATTGTAGTTAGCACACAGTTTAAAAATTCACCAACACACCAATAGTACAAAACTAAACAGCATTATAAGTTATTGCCCTCTCAGGAAAATAAAACATACTATGATCGTCAAGGCTAGATATCAGTCTAAGTTTTAGAACAGAGGAAGAATGTGAAGCTAAGTACAGGAAAAAGCAATTGCTCACAATGACCACAAAAGAAAATCCCACAGAAAGTCCACTTTCTGTTTTTTTTTTTTTGGGTCCGGTTGTAGAGCCTGAACTCTGGGCCTGGGCACTGTCCCTCAGCTCTTCAGCTCAAGGCTAGCGCTCTACCACTTGAGCCACAGCGCCACTTCCGGGTTTTTTCTTTTTGCTTATGTGGTGCTGAGGAATCGAACCCAGGGCCTCAGGCATGCAAGGCAAGCGCTCTACCACTGAGCCACCTTCCCAGCCCAGAAAGTCCACTTTCTCACAGACTCATTTTCTTTTTTCTTTTGTGGCCAGTGGTAGGGCTTGAACTCGGGGCCTTGGTGCTGCTCCTGGCTTAAGACTAGTGTTCTACCACTTTGAGCCACAGCTCCACTTCTGGTTTTGAGGGAGTTACTTGGAGACAAGGGTCTCCCAAATTTTTCTCTCTAGGCTGGCTTCAAGATCCTCAGATCTAAGCCTCTTAGCTAGCCTGACATTTTCTGTTGGACACCTAAGTCCTGGTCATCTTTCTCTCTAGATACCAATCAGCAGTCTATTATGAATATAGGACTCAAAGATACAGAGAAGAGATACAGAAAGGACCAGAGAGGTAAAGGGGTGAGCAAGTCAGTTGAGGGCTAGAGAAGAGAGGTGAGCATGAATTTGGTTCCCTGCGATAGGAGGAGAGCAGCCCTGCAGGGCTAGCTATGAGGTGGACTCCCCCTTTCTATTTCTCCTTCTAACAGTAGGAGTGGGCTTCCATGGGTAAAGAGAGGCTGGAACATGGAGATGCAAATGAGTGCTAAATCCTAATTTATGCTGATGGTGAAGATCTATGGACCATGAGAATGGCCATTGGATGTTTTTTTTTAAAAAAAAGAGTTTACCTTCTTGCCACCAAGGACTTATCTGATGATTCTGTTTAAATGTGCATACTCCTAGGCTTCTTATCACATTTCCTGCTTTATTTTCCTCCATAAGACTTAGCACATTGTAACATAATTCATTACCAAGTTGTATATACTTTGCCTGTAAACTCATGTGCTTAGCTTGTAAGCTCATGAGAGCAGGCTAGTTTTTTTTCCCCTTGCGGTTCTCTGCTGTCTTGATAAACAGTGTAGCAAGTGTTTAATAAATATTTGCTGAATCAAATGAAAGGGTACATTCTCGTTTATCCTCAGCATTTGTAGTGCAGAGGATTTCATGAGGCATCCCTGAAGATTCTGTGTTCAGATGATACATAAGAAAAATGTCACTAACAAGTTGACTTTAAAATTTCTAGATGTAGCTGGCCATTGATGGCTTACATCTGTCATCCTACCTACTCAGGAGGCTGAAATCTGAGGATTACAGTTCAAAGCCAGCTCAGGCAGGAAAGTCTGTGAGACTCTTATCTCCAGTTAACTACCAAAAAGCCAGATGTGGAGCTTAAATGGTAAAGCACTAGCCTTGAGTCAAAAAGCTAAGGGGAAGTACACAGGCCCTGAGTTCAGACCCTAATAGGGGCATACACACATACAAATACACACATACAAATACACACACACACACACACACACACACACACACTCACAGAGTTTTGGAGTTATTAAATCATTAAGGCAATGACCGTATATGTGATATATAAGGATCATATGTGTGATATATAAGGAATAAATTGAAACACTGGGAAAGCATCTAAAATATTGAAATTCAACCAACAGCTGTTATTTTAAGAAGGGTAGAGATGGAAGAAAAGAATAAAACCATCTAGGAGGCCAAAATCTACAAAAGAAGTAGCGTGCGTTTGCTTTCCCAAGCTCGGTAACAGCTTTTTGATTTTAAACACACTCTTCCAAGGTAGCTAGTATTGTATCTATTTTTGTGGACCAGGGCCTCATCCTTAACATTGAGTATCACTGGGATTTAAATCTTGTGTTGCCTGAATCCAAACTTACTCTTTCTCCAAAATTTTGGTCTTTGGGTTCCCCCCAGAACCTTGCAAGAGAGCTGTGACTTTAAAAGATAGCAACTGAGCAGCCGCCTGCTTGTAACTGAAAATGTTAGAACTGAAATGTTCGCAACGTCTGCTCTGCTCCGAGCAGATGTGCTGGCTGCAGACACCCTGTGATGTCTGTGCCCAAATGAGAGATCCCTATCAAGGCCATGAGAAGAAGTTGAGTTTGAGAAGTAGCAGCAGCAGTCGCAGCGATGGCCTCCATCCTCTCTTTTCAACCCATCTAGCACGCCTGTCCGCTGTGGGCTTGCAGCCGCTAGCTGGGCACTTCCTGCTGTTCCTAGCCTCCTATCTCAAACTCCTGTCTGGATTTGCAATCACAGCCCGAAGCGCCTTCTTTAAACATGTTGCCACTGATAGCCAATTGCTGCCCTTGTAGAGTGGATTTGGTTTGCGAAGACAACTGTTTGCAGCTACGTCCAGAGAACCAGGTGGGTGGACATGTTAGGTAATATTTTGAGACAAAATAAGTTGGGGGCTGGGAATGTGGCTTAGTGATAAAGTTGCTTGCTTAGCATGCATGAAGCCCTCGGTTCAATTCCTCAGTACCACATACACAGAAAAACATGGAAGTGGTGCTGTGGCTCAAGAGATAGAGCGCTAGTCTTGAGTATAGAGAGGGACAGAGCCCAGGCCCTGAGTTCAAGTCTCAGGACTGGCAAAAAAACACAGTAAGTTGGGCATAGAATGCAAAGACACTGGTTTTGTTCTGTAGTTTATTAAACTGTCTCTGAAGGATTTTGCTTTAAGAAAAAAGTTCTAAAGCACATCGACAAATGTCTACCATGTTAGAAAGTACATCAGCAATCAAGGATTATTTCGACGAGCACTGTCATTTGACTATATCATCTCTGACAGCCTTTAAAAATATTTATTTAGGGCTGGGAAGGTGGCTCAGTGGTAGAGCGCTTGCCTTGCATGCTCGAGGTCCTGGGTTCGATTCCTCAGCACCACATAAGCAAAAAGAAAAAAAGCTGGAAGTGGCACTATGGCTCAAGTGGTAGAGCGCTAGCCTTGAGCTGAAGAGCTGAGGGACAGCGCCCAGGCCCAGAGTTCAGGCCCCACGACCGGACCCCCAAAAAATATTTATTTATGTGTTTGCTTTATTATGACAATTATGCTGAGACCGGGGCTTGAGTCAGAGCCTGGGCACTGACCGTTAGCTATTTTAGTCTAGGCTGGTACTTTACTGCTTGAGCCACAGATCCATTTGCAGTTTTTTGGTGGTTAATTGGAGATAAGAGTCTCACAGACTTTCCTACCTAGGTTGTCTTTGAACCACAATCCTCAGATCTCAGCCCCCATAGTAGCTAGATTACAAAGCCACTGGCAACTGCCTATGTTTCATAGTCTTTAAACAAGGTTTGAATTATGCAGTGCCCTGGCTTGAGCAATTATCTGAGGCACTATCATCTTCCATTAGGAATTGTGGCTTCGCAATGAAGAAGAACCAAAATGTGAATGAATGTTTTCTTTTTCTTTCTTTCTTTCCTTTTTTTTTTGGTGTCAGTTCTGGGGCTTGAACTCAGGGCCTGGGTGTTGTCCCTGAGCTTTTTCACTCAAGGCTAGTGCTCTACCACTTTGAAACACCTTGCCACCTCCACTGAATATTTCCTTGATAAACATGGTTCCACAAGACCAACAAGCCAGGATAAAACAACAACAGATAATCTGATAATCTAAGGTTAATGGAAATCAAAAAGCAATATGCTCTGTTACATTCTATAGGAGGGAAGCTAGCTGATGTTTGAAATGATATTCTTACCTGGCTAGGCAGCCTGTTATCTGTAATGAGTTGGAATGCACAAGGAGGAAGTCACTCATGAAATGAATAACCTGCGGCATTCCTAAGATAGCTCAATATTTAGAATTTTAAGGTGTACTTTATGAGCCTAATCTTACTCTGCAAGTGACACCTCAGAATTCGGATCTTACGCTGAAGATGAGTTAACATTTTATATTTCCCATCATTAAATCTCGATCAGAAGGGAATGACATTTTGTTTTAATGCAGTCATTTATCATTTAGTTGGGAGCTAGATATGAATAACTATAGTATTGTCAGGTGCTGGTGGCTCACACCTGCAATCCCAGCTACTCAGGAAGCTGAGATCCGAGGATCGCAGTTAGAAGCAGGACTAGGCAAGAAAATCCATGAGACTCTTATCTCCAATTGACCACCAAAAGGCCAGTAGTGTAATTCAAGTGGTAGAGTGCCAGCCTTGAAGAAAAAAGCTCAAGGACCACAGAAATGAGGGACAAAGGGTGAACAAATGCAGCAGTGGTACTCACTGGACACTATGTTGAAAATGAACTATACAACTTGTGGGTGGAGATGGGAGGGAAAAACTGGGAGAAAAGGAGGGAAGGGGTGACATTATCCAAAAGAAATGTACTTTTTACCTGACTTATGGAACTGTACCTCCTCTGTATGTCACTTTTATAATAGCAGTTCAGAAAAAAAAAGGCTTTGAGATAGCACTCAAGCTATGAGTTCAAGCCTGAATGCTAGCACACCCACACAAAGAAAAATTATAGTGTCCTGGGATTAAAACTGAAAACAGGAGGACAAGATTTGGATGTATTTCCTATCTGAAGTGGCATGTCACAGAGGAGGGTCTGTGTCAACATGAAAAGCTATGGAAGCTAAGGCATTTTGGTTAATAGAGTACCAGAAAGAAGTCAGGCGCTGGTAGCTCAGGCCTGCAAGCCTAGTTATTCAGGAGGCTGAGATCTGAGGATTGTGGTTCGAAGCCAGTAGGGTTAAGAAAGTCTGTGAGACTCTCATCTCTAATTAACCACCAGAAAACTGGAAGTGGAGCTGTGGCTCAAAGTGATAGAGCACTGGCCTTGAGCAAAATGTCTCAGGGATAGGGCCCAGGCCCTGAGTTCAAGCCCTATGACTGACGAGGAGTCGGGGGGGAGAGACAAATAAAAACAAAACTAGTAAGAAAATGTATGGCTGGAGTGGGTAGGTGTGGGGAGCATTGAGCTTAATCTAAGTCAGAATAATTCAGTAAAAGATTCCTGATTCAAGTTCCCACCTTTGCTTTTTGAAGACTGCTACGTGTGAGTTCAGGGCACAGAGCTGTCACATGATTGAAAACATTCCATTTAAAAGCTCCTTATTCTCAGGAGACCAAGAAAAACGAGCTCTTCTCTGTGGCTGTATCAGAACGCACTCCAAGCAAAGATGTCTCTCAGAAAGACTTCACTTTTTCACTTTCCCCTATCGATTGCCTATGTCTGAGAATCTCAGAGTGAAGCTCAGCGCTGAGGAAAAGTTGGGGCTCAGCTGCTTCTCTCTCCCTGCTCTGCCCTGTGACGCAAGCAGAGACCAAAGCCAGGAGAAATGATGGGTTGAGTCTTGGTCTTGCTTTTCAAAAGCTTTACAGTCTTTTGAGATCCTGTCTGTTAAAAGGTTTTAAGATGTCACAGGATGGTTGGGAGGTAGCTAAGAGCATCAAGCTTTTGGTCAGCAAGTGATGACTGAGTGATTGATTATCCATGCCTGTGCTACCTCTGTAAGCCAGGCCAGGCCTCCGGTCTCTTGCTTGGTAGTCATACTGAAGGGTTGACCGGTGAATACAATGTGATGCCATGCCCATAATTCCCCTCCTGCCTGCCATTCTCAAGTGTCTAGGACTTCCCCTCACTTCTGTGCCCTGGCTGTCGTATACCATGGCAGAAATAACACACTGAGAGTAGTGTGTGTGTGTGTGTGTGTGTCTGCAGCAGTATTTTAAGTAATTTGCTTTTTCCCCGTGTAACTACCTCTATAACTCAGTTCAAAGAATGAGAGGAAGGAAGAGGAGAGAGAAAGAAAAATGCATTAAAAAGAAATGTCTCACTGGGTGCTGATGGGTCAGGCCTGTAATCCTAGCTGCTCAGGAGGCTGAGATCTGAGGATCTGAGTCCATGAGACTCTTACCTCCATTAAACGAACAAAAAGCTAGAAATGGATCTGTGGTTCAAAGGATAGAATGCTATCCTTGGGCAGAAGCAGCTCAGGGACAGTTCCCAGACCCTGAGTTCAAGCCCCAGGATGGGCAAAAAGGAAAAAAAAAGATACATTTCTAGGAAAGCAAGTTAGACCTGTCTCCCTCTGAAATTGATCTGTACGTGAAGCCTGGAAGAGAGTGAGAGGCAGTAGGGAAAGCCTCCCTCTGGGAGCAGGAGACAATGCTTGGCTCTTTATGATTGTCAAATGCTGGCCATCCCCAGACAGAGAGAAGGCATCCTTCACAAAGGAAGCGTGCTCAGGGGATCTTGCAGCCAGCCCCGTCCGAGCCCCTTCCCAGCCTGCTTCTGAGATAACTCTCAACCCACAGCAAGGTGAGACACTACACAAGGCAGAGGCCCTCAGCTTCTAAACCAGGCTGCAGTGCTTCTTGCTTTTTTTCCACCAAAAAGCCGAGCAGCCTCATATTCTACTGGAGGGGTGCTCCATGGAGCCAGCTGTCTTTGTCCCTCTGCTAGTCTATGGATGGTACGTGCTGCGAGGACTCTGAGAAGCCCACTGGATTTTCTGCTGGATGCACATTCACTGCCACTTCAAATCTTTTAGACGATTGCGTGAAATCTGTGTGTGTGTGTGTGTGTGTGTGTGTGTGTAGTGGAGTTTTAACTCTGGACCTCACATTCTTGCTTAGTTTTTTCTGCTCAAAGATTTTCCTAGTTCATTGGAGTCTCATGGATTTTCCTGTCTGGGCTGGCTTTGAGCCATGATCCTCAGATCTCAGCCTCCTGAGAAGCTAGGATTACTAGCATGAGCAATCAGCACACTGCTGAGAGAGCGCTTTAACCTTCCTTTCTCAGACCATTTTTTCCGGGATCCAGCCACAGTCCACTCTATAGATTTCTAGAGTTGTGTTCGATGAACTGTTTGATGAGATGAAATCAACCGAAGGATGTGCTTGACAAAAACCTGTTGCTGGCCGAATTTAGTGTAAGGATGGTGTTTTGCCTTCGCCACGAGGTCCTCTTGGAAATGGGTTGATTTAGACCCAAGGGTCTAACCCCAGGATTTCCACATATTAGATCTTGGTCCCTCACCCCAAGATGCCAAATTAGGAGATGTGGTAACAGGCAGAGAAAGAAGATTTATTACGTGGCAGCCACAGGAAGAGAGCATTTCAGCACAACTTCAGCCATCTTTGGGGTGCGTACATGGGTGCTACGCTTGAACAGACAGAGAACTGGGGCAGGCAGAGTGATGCACGATGAGACAACATGCCTGGTCACAGGTGTGGCCTGGTGGTCGCTATCTCAGGCTGTTTCCGGAAAAGTGGCAGTTATCACTTCATGACTGGAAGGGAGCTGGAGCCGCCGGCTGCTGTCTGGCCTGAGCTTTGGCTGTTCTGTTTCTTTAGAGCAGGGCTGCCTTTTGCCCCACGTTGATTAAAAAAAAAGACGCCATTGCCTGTCCCAGT